CTTTTGAAAGAAGAACAGCAACCCTGTATTAACATTTTTATATTACGCTTATTATCCCCCTTCCATTTTTATTAATTCACCCTCTATTATACATCTTCCATAACCAGTCTTTTATTCTAATAACTCACTGCTCGTTTAATATCGTTTTAAAGCTTCCTTTTAAAATTTTCTGAGAAATTTCTTAATTCTACCACCAGACTCAAAGGAGAATTTGGTGGGCTCAGTATTCCCCTATAAATTTTCTAATTTAGCAACATATTACTGTACTTAGAAAGGGATTATCAGTACTTCAAACCACATATCTCATATTTTCTTTAAATAGCTCTACATTCAGCTGCTTCCTGTGGATACCTTCATATAGCCGTTGTAATCACACTTGTAAGTTAAACCTATGTTTACCTCCCAATGGCTAATCATAAAATAGAGCATGCTGAACACAAGACATGAGCTGGAGAAAACTACACGCTATGCCAAAGTGGTGAACCACTTGGGAGAGCACCTCTTCTGAAACAATGCTAAGTGTTTCTTCTGGCCATAAAGAAAGCCAGTGTGACAGAAGAAAAGCAACAGAGTATTCAGGGCACCATGAAGAAAGGCCTATGGAACAAGGCCTGTTCTGATTGAAAGTCATGTTTTTATGCTTAATTAAAGCATTGGTTTCTTGTCTTTTCTAAAACAAGAGGACCCAAAGTTGTTGCATTGAATTGTAATCTAATAATATCAACACAAACCTCATCAATTCTTTCTCTTTGTAGCTTCTCCCTCATCACCCCCAGTGTCTTGAGGATAGAGAGCGACGAGCAGGTTGTGGTGGAGGCTCATGGACTCAATGCTGAAACACAGGTGACAATCACTGTCCTAGATTTCCCTGAGAAGAAAAACAACATCTACTGGATCAAAGCTTCCCTGAAGCCAGAAAATGGCATGATAGCAACTCCATCCATAAAGGTGTGTTTGGTATGGTTATAAATGCTGTTACTGTCTTCAAAACTGTAGCCAACAATTTTGGAAGTGTGCCCTCAGATCAACTTTGTAATATTGAAAGTCATGTTACAATAACATTACAGCAAAGAAGTGCTCAGAAAGCCAATTTCTCCATGTAACAGAAAGGGGAAAATGGGGGGGAAAGTCTTGGTAGAAACTCAAGCTTGGTAGTTTCCCCAAACTTGCCTGCCAGCCAGCCGAGTCTTGTCCCTAGGGCTCCCAATAAAATGCAAGCTCCTTTCCCCAACCCGATTGTTGGAGCAAATGGGACCTGTCAGCCACCTTCTCATGCCTCTGCTTTGCCCATTGTCCCTTCCACAGGCCCCGTGCATATGCGTTTTTCCACTGTTCTTGCAAATATATTTCCTTAACTCTGCTCCTGAGGGAGGAAAGGGGTGTGCTGAAAGCCAAGTGCTCAGACAAGTGAATGTTTTTCCAAGTAGTCTCTGTATTTTACTGATATGTCTGAAGAAATGGCCAATGTTCCATAAAAGCTTACATGAAAACATAGCAATCGGTCTTTAAAGTGCCACAATGTCTTTTTCTGCTTTTGTTTTCTTTTTGTGTTTCTTCCTTTTTGTTTTGTTTTCTCTTTCTTGTTGAAATACTTGCACAGACTAATATGGCCACAACTAAAACTGCTCTAAAATTCACCCTTAGCAAATACCAATACAATATTTCTGTGACATTGTTAGTTATGCTGGTAGAGGCCAGAATAATTTACTTCTCTTGTTCCTGATCTTTCCACACAGCTCTCCGCAAGAGACCTCAAGAAGGATTCCAGGAAAAAGACATATGTTCTCTGATCTTTCCACACAGCTCTCCTCAAACGTCCTCAAGAAGGATTCCAGGAAAAATATATATGTTGTTGTCCAGGCCATCTGTGCTCAATTCACTCTGGAGAAGGTGGTTCTCACCTCCTTCCAGAGTGGGTATATCTTCATCCAGACAGATAAAACCATCTATACTCCTGGATCACCAGGTAAGAGCTTCCTGTTGATTCCACCTATAAGCGTATGTGGGAATGGGTAACATAGTTTAATCCTATTCAGTGTCTATGCAGCACTTCCTGGCTTGTCTCTCATATTCAATAAATGGAACATCTCTTGTCACTTCCCAGCTATAGTCTGCAAGCATTCATGGACGAGCTTCATTTTACCTGATAGCATTTCTCAATTGTTGCAATGTCCTGGTGAAACTGCTCATCACTCACTGTTCTACATTTTGGTGGGAAAAAACCTAGAGTGCCAAAAATGTATCTTTTTGTTTAAAAAAATTATGTTTATTATTATATAACACAACAACAAACAACAATCACAAAATATAACAACAGGAAGGGAAAAGGAGGTAAAACAAAACACATAAAAACAGGGAAGTATTTGCTTTCATTCAGTATCCAATATGCACTTGACATCATAACTCTGATACAATACTAAAATCCATAATCTCCACTCATTTTCTCTACTAATATCTGTTTCTGGGCCCAATCATAAAACAATTTCAACTTTCTTTATCATATATTCTCAGGTTCTCATGTAAGGTCTCTGACAATCTATCTATTTCTGCAATGTCTAGTATTTTTTTAAGTAGAGTTTTCCACATTTGGGCCCAAATCAGCCTTGCAGCTGTAAATATATGGAGCAACATATATTTAATTTTTTTATCAACAATTTCTGGCATTGTATTCAATAAACACATTTCTGATTGTTGTATAATTTCTTGTGAGATATCTTTTATCTGTCTCCAAAAGCTTTTTGCTTTGTCGCATGTCCACCACATATGAAAATAAGTTCCTAATTGCTGAGAACATTTCAAACATGAATTGTGAGACCCGGGAACCATTTTTGCTAGTTTTACAAGTGTACAATACCATCTATGGAACATGTTTAAAACATTTTCTCTCAAATTTACTGGTTTGAGCCATCTATAGTTTTCATTCCACATTCGAGTCCAATCGTCTATGTTTATATTGTAACCAAAATTTTGTGCCCATTTAATCATCACTGTTTTTACCCTTTCATCCTCTACGTCAGCAGTCACCAACCTTTTCAGGACCACAGACCAGCTGAGGAAGGTGGGGCACCCCCGCCCTTGTGTGCATGCACGAAGGAGCACACACCTTCACGTGGGTGCAAAGTTGTGGGGAGTGTGTGCACGTGTGCCAGCGCACATACAATCACTCCCCCACCCCTTCATGCGGGCACTCAGGTGCATGCGTGAAAGGGGTGGGGGAGTGCACACGCCGGCGCTGGCATGCGCATGTGTGTGCAAAGCTTCTGTGGGGGGGAGTGTGTGTGGGGCCACCTGTAGCATTCAGCCCTGCCCTCACCTGTCTGTCACAGTTGGGCAGTGGGACATCAGCCAATGAGGGGACGGAAGGTGGTACAGAAGGGGGAGGAGCTGGAATATATAGAGGGGTGTATGGTGTTTGAGGGAGATTAGGGAGAAAGTTTTGAGAGAGAGTTAGTGAAGAGTGTCTGTGTGCCTGTGTGCCAAATAGTGAGGGAAAAGTCTGTGTGTGTCAGTGAGAGAAAGAACTTGGTTTACATATTGTGATTTACTTACTTTATTTTATTAAATCAATAAACACAGTTTTGTTTTTGAAACAACACTTGTTTTTATTTTATATTTGAATAAGATTGGTGGCAGCAACTGAAGAAGAAGAGTGGGCACCTCCTGGAGGCCTGAGATATTAGAGGCTTCAGTGTGTCCGCTACACCACCCCAGGAGGTCTGTCTTTACGGCCCAGTCTGGCTCAGGCCACAGACCGGTACCAGGCCCCGGACTGGGGGTTGACGACCTCTGCTCTATATTATATTCTAAAAAAGTATACTTTTTGTATAATTTTATCACTAGTATAAATCCATAATTCATCCACCTGTGCCTTCCCCTCATAAAAGCCCCCTGTTTTCTCTTTTTTAAACCTTGATTCTAATTTTAACCTACCATCAGTCTGTTTGTAAACCCATTTATTTCCTTTGATTAATAGATCTTTATACGTATAGCTCCATTCTTCCACCATTAAGGTAGGTTGAGTAAATGTTTCCAATGGTGCTACCCAGATTGGGATTTTTTTAATACAATTGCTCATGGAAACTTTGCCAAACCTGGTACAGTGCTTTCCTTACAATATGCTCAAGAAAAGTTGTTTGATCTTTGCCCCTGCCATACCATGTATATGCATGCCATTCTAAACTTAGGTTATGTCCTCCCAGTTTTAAAAGTGCTTGATCTTGCAATGTAATCCATTCCTTTATCCAGTTCAATGCAGAAGCCTTATAGTATAGTAAACAATTTGGTAAGCCCATTCCTCCTCTTTCTTCTAAGTCCTGCAGAACTTTAAATTATATTCTTGGCTTTTTAGCTTGCTATATAAACGTAGAAAGCACGGCATCTACTTCCTTAAGATAGTTATAATTCAACAATATTGGTAAATTTTGGAATAGGAACAACAGCTTTGGCAAGATATTTATCTTTACAGTAGCAATTCTGCCCAGCAATGAGAGTTGTAATTTGCCCCAAGTTTCAAGTTTTTGAAGTATTGGAAGATAATTATCTTTCAACAAAGTGCTTGGGTTTTTTTTGTAATATGTATTCCCAAGTATTTGATTTTTGACATATGTTCAAATCCTGTTTCCATTTCTAATTTCTTTGCTTCTTCTTGTGTCATATTGTTTGTCAAGAATTTGTTTTTTTTCATAATTTAATTTAAGTCCTAAAACTGCTCCAAAGTTCTCAATTGTAGTTATTATTTCTCTAATCGATTCCTCCAGGTTTTCTAATAATAGTACCAAATCATCAGAAGCTTGTAATTTATGTTCTTCTCCTTTTATTTTTAAGCTTCTAATTTTGGGATCTCTCCTTATTTGTCTAATATTTCTGAAGTCAAAATAAAGATTAGAGGTGATAAGGGACATCCTTGTCTTGTACCTTGTTGAATTTGAATCTCTTCTGAAATTTGACCGTTAATCTTAACTCTTGCTTTTATTGTAAATAAATTGATTCCACTGCTTGAAAGAAACTTCCTTGAAGTCCCATCATTTTAATTGGATCAACATGAAGTTTGTTCACATTATCAAAGACCTTCTCTGCATCCAAAAATATCAACATCATTTGTTTTTCTAGGTGTGCTTCATAATATTGCACTATATCTATTACTGTTCTTATATTTGTCCCTATTGCGTTTGGGAAGAAAGCCAGTCTCATCTTTATGCACCATTGAGATTAAAGCCTTTTTTCAGTTGATTGGCAAAAATCTTATAATCCATGTTCAAAAAGAGAAATTGGTCTGTAATTCTTGATTTGGTTCCTTTCCGTTCCTGTTTTGTGTATTAAAGATATATGGGCTTCTTGATATAATTCAGGGATTTTTCCACCTACCTCAATAACTTCTATTAATTTTTGGAAATATGGTATCAATTCTTCCTGTAAGGCTTTGTAATATTCTGCTGGCAGCCCATCTGGTCCAGGTGTTTTACTATTTTTCTGTTTTTTCCAAGCTTCCATTATTTAATTAATTGCTATAGGATTATTCAAATTTTTTAACTGCTGTTCTGAGAATTTCCAGGGAAGGATTCCTTCAAAAAATGTTTCTTGTTGAGGCATCAATATTTCTTTTTTCTTATATAAATTATCTTTTTTTTTTTTGCTATTTCTTTAATTTTTTTCTGTTTGAAGGTTTCCTTCCCTTCCTTATCCTTGTATCTTTAGTGACATGTTGCAACAAAGTCTTTTCTATGCCTTGAGGAAGTTTTCCACCAGCAACCGGTAGTTGTCTGCCATTTCCCAAGAAAATGTATTGCCACTAATTGGAAGGCTCTCCATGCCTTCTTTTCCTTGCCCCACAATGTATGGTCAAATGCATCATCTTGAAGGAGTTCAAGAATTTAAGGACCAACAAAGAAATCTTCCATTATCTTAGCTTCACTTAACCTTGGAAAGTTTCCATGGACATACTTGAGAACTGCTTGTGTTTTGACCATGGCCTTAAAAAGTTCTTCATCAGACCGAGCTAGATGTGTAATAATGGTAACAAAATCTTCTTTGATTCAACAAGTGGTTGATGCTCAACACTTTTTCTCCAAGGCTCCATTGACTGCTACAGTGGTCAGTCTCTTGGGATGTAGTAGGAATCTCTTGCACAACTATCTGTTTCACAGAGCAAACAGCAGTACCTTGTGTATTCAGTCTGCAGACCAAGCAAGAGAGCAACAACCTTCATATAGCCACTAAGGTGCCATGGATGTTGATCATAGTTTATGCACCTCAAAAGTTGTTTTATGTTGTTGTATGATTCCTTCATATGGACTGCATGACCAACTGGAATTGATGATAAAACATTGCCAGTGTTAAGACTTTTCTTTGATGAATAGGACTCCACTCTTCTGGATTGTGAACACTGTTGAGGGTTGTCGTCACACCACTAATATTGTTGCAGGCTAAAATTGTTCTGCCTAAAAAGCAAGTATTATCCAAACCCAGTAATAGATTTATTCATAGAACCAGTCAAAGATGTATTTTCGTCATTTCTGGTTTAAATTGTAATTGGACATGGGAGTATTCGTATACCAATACCCCCGCACAGGTGGACATAACGAGGGACTGTCCACTCACCATTCCAGTGTTGCTGCAGGCTCCATGCCCCTGTCTATTACTCTGGAGCTTGCGACGATCAGCCTCCCTGCCAGGTCGAAGAGTGGCTAGTCGACTGTGAGCTCTGGCGAGATAGGAAGGGAGCACGGAACCCGCTGAAGTGGCAGAAGGGTGAGTGGACAGTCTGGCCCCAGGGGGTCGGCCCCTCATTATGTCCACCTCTGTGGGGGTATTTGTATTTGTATACGAATACCCCCATCTCTAATGGTGATCCCTTCCCTTTCCACCATTTGTTGTTTTCCATCATTCCCAAGTCAAGGGTTGTATATACTGACTAGTAGCAGATCTTGAAAGCTAGATCCAATCAACAATTTTAATTGTAACCCAGAA